ATGGGATCGGACATCATCCCAACGTGCGTCAGTGCTGGTGACGTGCGTGAATTCGACACAGTGTCAAGGGATGAACGGAGACTTCCGCCAAAGTCCATCTTCCATCCGATCTATGGCAAGCGCGCCACATTATCGCGGAAAAAGAAAACATAAAACGCTATTTAAGGGCCATTTCAGGTCAAAGATGCGGCAACCAGGCCATTATGTCAATAAAAGAAACATTCATTTCATTAACGAGTGAATTTAGATTTTTCTGTCTTCATATGAACTTGATGAATTCAGGCCATCGTTTTAAACCGATTTCTTTTAGTTCTTCTTTTCTTGCTACATTTCCAAATAATTGAATTCTTTCTTTTATTCGCGACTCGCTTTTTAATTTCTTTTCTTTCTTTTCTTTCTTTCTTTTCTTTTTTCTGTTTTCTTTTCTTTCTTTCTTTCTTTCTTTCTTTTCTGTCCTTTTCTTTCTTTCAGTCTTTCTTTCATTTTCGTCTTTCTTTCTTTCTTTCTTTTCTTTTCTTTTCTTTTCTTTCTTTCTTTTCTTTTCTTTTCTTTTCTTTTCTTTTCTTTTCTTTTCTTTCTTTCTTTCTTTCTTTTCTGTCCTTTTCTTTCTTTCTATCTTTTCTATCTTTCATTCTTTCTTTCATTTTCGTCTTTCTTTCTTTCTTTCTTTCTTTTCTGTCCTTTTCTTTCTTTCTATCTTTTCTATCTTTCATTCTTTCTTTCATTTTCGTCTTTCTTTCTTTCTTTCTTTCTTTCTTTCTTTCTTTCTTTCTTTCTTTCTTTCTTAATCTTTTCTTCGCGTTTCCTTGTTTTAACTTAAATTTCCTTTTCATTTCTTTCTTATAGTAGCGCTAATTTCTTCCTGAATTTTTAACTTTAATTTTTCTTTGATTTTTTTTTTTCAGTTTTATTTATCCGTTACGAATTGCTTTCTTCTTTCTCTATTTTCTGAATTTTTTTTTTTCATTATTGTCTGGTTTTCTGTTTGCTTTCCGTAAGTTGCTTCTTTTGACTGCAGTCTGTTATTCAAGATGTCTTTCTTCTTTTATGCCTTCATCACTAATTTCCAGTTGATGGATAGTTTATTTCCTGATGTTTCTAATTCTTTGTTTCATTTTCCTTCTTTCTTTATTTCTTTGTCTTTCTTTCTTTCTTTCTTTCTTTCTTTCTTTCTTTCTTTCTTTCTTTCTATTTTGTTTGTTAGTTTCTTTCTTTCATTGGTTTCTGCTTTGTTTTGTTTTGTTCTGTTTTTCTTTTTTATATTTTTATCTCTCATTTTCAGATTTCTATTTAATCTTTTCTCAGTTTTTTCTTGTATATTAATTTTCATTTAACTTTCCATTCTATCTCACATTTCACATTTTGAATTTCAAATTTTAATTTCAAAATTTAATTTTAAATTTTAATTTTAAATTTTGATTTCAAATTTTAATATTTCCATTTCTTAAAATTATTTCCATGTCCTATTTTTTTTTAAAATTTTCTTCTTAAACGACTTTTTTAAAAATTTTCCTTCAATTTTTGCTCGCTCCTCATTTTTCTTTTTTATATTTCATTTTTTTTCTTTCACTTACCTTCTTTACATTGAATGCTTTCTTTCTTTGCTTTGTTTTGTTTTGTTTTTATAATCGCTATAACCCCATGCAAGGCAATAAAGTCACTAAGACACAAGAAATTATAAGATGACGAAGAATGGCGAACAGGAACCTTATTAATGAGTGAAAGAGGAAAGAGTAATCAGGAGGACAGTAGATAACGATTGACATTGCCTTCAAATTTTTGCAGATTAAAGTTACAGGAAAACATGGAACCGAAAGGGAGTTCCACAAGCGAGAAGTGCATGAAAAAACTGTTAGCATAGAATTTATGGTTATATCTAGCCAGGTCAATCGTAAATTGATGAGATCTTGACGGCAGTCTAGTGCTGCTCTTAAATTTAAAAATCTAGGTACTCTAGCGAAGAACTCATCCGAACAATTGCCATGAAAGTATTTATAGAAAAGACACAGAGAAGCCACCTTACTGTGGTTGTAACGTGACTGAAGCCGAGCTGCCAGATCAAGACCAGTAATATTGCTGATTCTTCGTTTCATCTTATGAAGGAAGCCAAGATAAATAGTAAGGGCACCAGTCCATATGTGACAGCAATATTCTAAGCATGGACGATATGGTAGAAGTATAGATATGTAATATAGATTCTTGAGAAAAATTGTCTCGCATGACACAGTGAACCAACTTTTATTTCATTTTTATTCTTTCCTTTTCAAAACTTCTGAATGATTTGCGAAGCTTGGTTTAATCAGGCACAGTACCAAAAAATAATAAATATAGGTCATTAGTTTCGAAGCGACCCTTTAGTAGGATTCCTTTATTTGCATTCAGTTTATCCAGATTTATTCTTATGCTCAAAGATGTTCTTCCTATATTTACTGATATTAACACCATATTTTGGCCTCTCCATTCTTTAGCCTCTATCTGCACTCCCTCAGAAAAAGGAAACCTCTTATCTCGAATAACCTAGACTGCCACAGAAATTGTCAGAATAGAGTTTGGGGAGTGAAGAAGCTGAAGGAGATAGCATGTATCGGCCTGTTGAACGGGTAAGTGAGCTGGACTCACCAGGATTTCAAAACTATGCGATTTTCTTTGCTGAGTGAAGTGAGTGTTGCAGAGTTTGGTCAGGGCCAGTGCAAGGGCATCGTGACCAACACCATCCCGAATCTATAATATGTATCTCCCACTTTACTACATCTCAATTTTTATAATGTAGTATTCATATAAAATACAAATTCTGTGGAGCTGATCAGCTACCATCTTGCTGGTAATTGCTTCAAGGGGTTTAGTAACGGGAGTGATATTGTGTTGGGGATAAGCGCTCATCTGTATTCAGGAAAACACATTCCATTTTCCTGTCTGCAGCCTAGCATTGACATGGACGTGAATATGCTTTCTTATTGACGGGTACAAAGTGCTTTGCGACTAAACTTTTATAGACACGTTGCTTCTGCTGGACGTATAAATAGGTATTTAATATTTCATTGCATTAAAAAAAAAAAAAAATCTCCACTGACGATCTCACCACACGCACAATATTGTCTTGTACTGAGCTCAGATTTTGGGGTCGGTTATTGAGATTTATTCTTGTCAATCCACTACCATTTGCGTTGAACATTGTCGCATGTGACTCACATTATATCACCTGTTATTATCTGTTCAAGGAATCGTTACAATTGGTTCACCCTAACAGAAATTAAACATGACTCAACTGATAGAATTTTTCAAGTAGTAATAACTTATTTGCCATTGATCCAGAGAGAAAAGCCCATTACTGAATTGCGCTTGATTACCGTTTAGAAGTTATGGACAATGTAAGTTCGACTTCTTTCTCGTCGCGTACACAGAACGTCCGCCATTACTGGCTTTGTTAACACACGTTTGCCTCGACTAGTCATGCAGCGCGGAAGCTTCACTTGCCTTGATTACTGCGCAATGCGCGAAGTTTGAAATGAATGCACGAAATAATGCGCGAATAAACGTAAAATCTGACAATTAAAATAAAACAATAAAAATTCCCTGCCTGAAAAGAAAAAATAGATTTTTTTCCTTCTTTTCAACGACGTTTTGTGTGTGTGTGTGTGTCCTGAAAGTTTCTTGAAATTAAAGCTTCATAAATTACATTTTAGGGTGAGATTCTGTTTCATTATCTATAAGCAGATTTATTAAAGACAATAAAGAAAAAATACTATTCATTTAAAACTTCATTTTACAAAAAAAAGCGCATTTTAAAATAGCATCCGCGAAAATCGCGCAGTAATCAAGACTAGTAAGATACAAAAAGCTGTAAACAGGCCGTTAACTAAGTAAGCTTCCGCTCATTATTAGCAAAGGAAAAAAATATCTAAACAACGCAAGAATGGCGGCCGGACAATGTGAATGAGATCGAACTTACAACGACGATAAATCGACAACTGGAATCGAGCGCAATGTTTTAACGTTATTTTCGAAATAAGCAGGCATTTTGCACCAGAATGGTACATTCTCAATACCGGGGGCTTTTGGTGCTGATACTACAAATTAACCCTGATTTTTTTTATAGAATCTTACAAAGCACAGTTTAGTACAGCATAATGCTTAGTATTATTCGGTCGAGTTAGCTTGGACATTCATGAGTCTATCGCACCAACCATCACGGTCCTGACCCCAAAAAGCGGGAAGGTCATTAGAGTGAGATTCTGTGTCATAAAAGAGCTGATCAATGTAGATGATTTCTGGGCGAATAGATCGTCTAGCACTATGTCTAGGTGTCCAGAGCTGTAGATCACTCGCTGCTACATTCGCATAACACTTAAATGGGCTTAAATTGTAATAGAAAACTTATATTAGACCAATCCAACACGATACATTGTCACTTGCTAGACATGAAAAATGCATTAAAAATCAAATGTTATATTTAGACTAGAACACGGACCACTATCACCAGTGGGTGAGGGATCGAGACAATATGCAACTTTGTTTAAAAAGAAGTTTAACACGGGATTCTCTTGATGCGTTGACCAATTTGAGAATTGTTCCTGTTTTATTGTTTATTCATCCATTGTTGCTAACCTGATACGTTTTTGCTAACTCGTTTTTCTTTTTCTTATGTAATTATGTTTCGCTCTCTTCTCGTAATTCTCTCTCTTTTTTATACAAGTAATTACTACTCTGTTGCCATCTTGTCTGTTTGTATAGACTTGTAGCATTAAATGTATTAATCTCTGAATGGAATATATACTATGGTTTATTTCAGCGATTATGGTAACGCCTCTATTACAGAAAGATAGAATTAGGAAAAGGAATATCCTTTTTTTAAATCATTTCGCCTCAACTAAGGTAATAAAGCAACTAAGAAGGAAGTGGGGGTTACTGAGCGTGAAAAATATTAAAACAAAATACGTTATTAAGGAGAGAGAACAGCGAAAGAACAGAAATAATGACAGGAGAACAGGACAGGGAACAATAATAATAATAATAATAATAATAATAATAATAATAATAATAATGATAAAAAACAGAAGATGACGATGGACGTTGTATTTATATTTTTGAAAATCAAAATTGACTGTAAAGAAAGAAACCGGAAGGCAGTTTCACAAGCGAGAATTGGAAGAAGAAAATTTTATCAAAGAACTTGCTGCTATATCTAGCAATTTCAGCTGTAAAATGATGAGACCTAACTGCCAATCTAGTACTGCGGTTAAATTTTTAGTTTAGGAACCATTGAAGAAATCTGTTCTTATATTATTGTTTCAAATTCATATATAAGTTTTATATTGCTTACTAAACAAAAGCTTAATAGCGATCTAATAATTGTGACAGGAGACATAGGTTGAGATGGAGGAAAAACAAGTCAAAAATGAAAATAATGAAAATGCTTCACTTAAGAAATTTGTAAGCCACGACAGTGTATTATTATTACTTATGAAGAAGACTAGAATACACCCACTGATCATGTCAACTAACCTGCAATACGGAAAATGTGATCCGAACACGCATCGGAATAGAGAAATACGTCTTTCAGAAACTAAGCAAAGTATCAAGACAATAATATTTCATTTGATGCAAAGAAAATACTGCTGAAATTCAATGTCATTTCTGTCCTCCTGTATGCTAATTTCCTAGCAAGTAACAAAAAACTTATGAAGTGAAAGAGATGTGGTACTACAGAAAGACGCTAAGAATAACATGGACTAAACACGTGAGCAACGATGAAGTTCTTAAGAAAATAGAATCTAGAACGATACTCATGCTTAAAAGTAAAAAACGACAGAGAGCTGAAATTTATGTGACATATTATGAGAAAAGACGGCTTGGAAAACTTAATGCTCTCGGGACGTATTGAGGAAAGTAGGGAGCAAATTACCTAATGAGTTTGTCTGAATAGATGGGCGAGAATCAGACAAGGTGCGATATAAAAAGTTGCTCAGAGTTATAAGGGAGACGACGTTGTGGAGAGCTAGTATCACTCATGTCTTGAACAGAGACGGCACATGAAAAAAGAAGGAAGCGAAATTTTCTTTTTTTTTCTTCTAAGCATCTCTCATTTAAAAAACAAAACAAAACAAAACAAAAACAAACAAAAAACTGTCTTAATACCTTCAATGCTAACAACGGTTCCATTTTTGTTTCTTTTACAAAAAGCTTTGTCTTCATTTTCTGATTTCTCTAAATATTTAAACTTTTCCATTTCAAGATTTCTTCTGAAACATTGTCACTTCTCTTTAACGCTACTAAATCATATTATTCAATCTTTCTTCTACTTATATTCGTTTTAGTTCTTAGTTCACAAATAGTCTAGTTGGTGAGTACGGGGAGGTTTCGACTATCTTAATTTTATTGTTCTTCTTTAGATTACTAAGCAGGATTTTATTATGCCCTCCAAGGTGACTGGTAGGGGGTTACTTTTCTAGGAAGGCGGGGTTATCTGGCTTATTTTCTTTATATATTTCAGATTCTTCCTTCTTTTTTTCTATCTTTCATTGTTTTTCTCTAATTTTTTATTCTTCCATTTTCTTTCTTATCGACATTCATTTATTTTTTTCTTTTCTCTCATTCTCTTTCTTTGCCTATTTCTTCATTTCTTCTGTTTTTTTTTCTTTTCTTTTCGCTGTATTTCTTTTCTTCTTTTTTAACTTTAACTTCTCTCATAATTTACTCTCCCATTTCTTTATTTCTCTTTATTGTATTACTTTGCCTTCTTTGTTTTGCTTCTAGCATTTATCATATTATTTGATTATATTTTGGGCTGTTGTACTTGCCACTGTTAAGTGTTTCATTTCAACGGGAGGAGAAGTGAAGTACAAGGAATGAAACAAGTCGTCATTGCAACAATCAAAATCAAGCAAAAGTAAATGAAAGCGTAAGAAAACGGAACACAATGCCAAAATGAGTTTAAAACACGCAAAAAGACATGACACATGACAACACTCATGTAATATAACCTGTTTTTCATTTTGAAATTTATGAACTGATTTTTACTCAAAAGTAATGACACCAGCAATCAGAAAGAAGAATCGACTTGATCAGAAAAAAATGTATGCAGGTCTGGGAATTTAAATGTGATTGGAACTTACCTTAAATTGAATCGAAAACCTGGATTTTGAGTTTAGCATTTAACTTAGATTGTCTTTCATCGAGAATTTAAAACAAAAACAAAAACATAAATAATCATCAAAAGAAAAAAATAATCATCATAAGTGTCGTCGTTTTATTTTAAAGGAAGAAAAGCAGGATAAAAAATTGTCGTCTGGAGAAAAGAAAAAGTAATAACAAAAAAAAAATACGGTGGAAACCCGAGAAATAGAGAAATTGTTGACATAAACAGGTATGTAATAAAACATAACATTTTTATGTAGACTTAAACCCCGTTATTTTTTTTTTAAACGATTAAATTTGAAATATTGATAGTTATCCATAACCTTACTTTTTCTTTTGTGATTTTCTTATTTAGCGTGACTGTTTGGGAATATAACAGATGCTCTA